CGCCCTGTCTCCGGCGGCCGCCCGCGCCCAGAGCGTGAAGTCGTCTACGTGCACGCGCTGGCGCAACCGATCGTCCAACCTGCCGGTTACCCGCATCACCCACGGCAGGATCAGTACGGCCAAGATGAACACCGCGAGCGGGCAGCCAGGCAGCAGGCCCGGGGAAGGCCGCCACGGGCCCCCGATGGCCTTGCCCACGCGGAGGCGCCTGCAAGCGGAGTACGCAGCCAGAGCTGGCTTGGAGATCCGGTCGGGGACCCCAGCGCGAACCAAGAGAGCAGGGAGCGTCTGGAGGTCGACCTGGTCGTGCGCTTTTCGCCGGTCCGGCGCGGCGCCAGCGACGTCTTCCGAGAGGGCGCCCGCCGCCTCCAGCTCCAAGGCCAGCTCCCGAGCGAGCTCCTCCGCTCCCTGCCGCCACGCCTCCCCTTCCCAGTTGCACCGCCGCTGGGCGAATGGGCGCGCGCGCACCCTGCCGCCCACAGGCGGTAGAGGATAAGGAGAGGCCAAATCGGCCGCCTCTCCAGGGGCCCGTCGCCGCCGACGCCAGGCTTCGGCAGCAACAGCCCCTCCGGTTCCACGAGCTCCTGCGGCCATGCTCCGCACGTCTCCACTACATACCTCGAAGAGCTGCGCGATCCACTCGTGCAGGCCTTGTGGCAGCAGCCGGAGTTCGCTCACAAGCCACGCATCCAGCCCGGGCTTTTTGCGTTTCGGCATGGTTTGTAGTAGCGAAGTTGTCCAACTCCGCGGTCCAGGGCGCAACAGCAGGGAATGGCGGCAAACCGTCCAATTCCTGCGCCCATTCCTCTGGCACGGGTGCTGCCGCGGGCTGCTGCCAGAGCTCGCGCCAAGGGCCCTCGAAGTATCGGAGCTTCGCGGCTGGGCCGCCTTGCAGCGCCAGCAGCCAGGGCCAGCGGCCAGCTCGGCTTCCACGCTGCCGCCGCCGCGAATCCAGCGGTAGAGCCGCCCCTGGCAATTAGCCAGGGCGGCGCAAAGATCGCACCAGCCCAAGATGGTCCCAAGACGGCCCAAGACGCCCCCAGAGCCGCCAAGAGGTCCTCTCAAGAGGTCCCCAGTATTCAAAATCACTAATGTCCCAACAAAAAATGTTTGAAGGACTTGGGCGTTCTCGCCTTTTCTGCTCTCCGACGCTCCAAGACGGCCCAAGAATCCCCCAAGACGGCCCAAAAGGCTTCCATGAGGGCCCAACACGGCCCAACAGCGCTCCGACATGGTCCCGGAGGCGACCAAGACGGCCCAAGAGAGCCCCAAGACGGCCCCCAACGGGGCTTCAGAGGGGGAACGCGAACCGAAAATCCGAGTTCTACGCTTCAAGAAGCCTCTAAGAGGCCCTAAGAGGCGCCCAAGAGGCCCCAAAAGCTCCCAAACGCCCCTCCAAAGGCCTCAAACAAGAGGCCTTACGGAGGCCTCCCGCGATATCCTATCGAACATCCTGAAGCCTTATGGCCCACAATCCGGCACGGTGGCGAGATGGACCGAAAGCTATCATAGATGGATGTGTATACGTATGAATATACACATACACACATATTATATGCATGCATGCATCTACTAAAGCTGTAGTCGTGTGTATATGTATACATCTATGTGTATATACAGTGATGTGTGTACATACGCACATACATACATGCATGCAAACATACACACACATTCATTTGTTCATTCATATATACATAGATACACACATGCATACACACATACATACAAACATACATACACACACATACATACATACATACATACGCACATACATACATACATACATACATACATACATGCATGCATACATACATACATACATACATACATATATACACATACATGCACACATACATACATGCATACATATATACATACACACATACAAACATACATGTATATACACATACATACATACATACATACATACATACATACACACATACATCCATACATACACACACATACATACATGCACACCCACATACATACATACATACATACATACATACATACATACACACACATACATACATACATACATACATACATACATACATACATACATACATACATACATACATACATACATACATACATACATATATACACCACATGCGCTCATGTATGTATGCATGTATATCGATACACATGTCTGTGCAACTATACGTGATAATATGTACATTTGTGTAGATACACGTATATCGGTGCATTATGTGTGTGCGTATGTATATGTATATGTATATATATGTATGCACGTGCTTTGGGGAGAACGCTCGGGGAACGTTTGCCGTCGATCTTTGAAGGTCCAACAGGGCCAAGAACTTCGGTGGGTCCCCAGGGGCCATCGGGGGATAAGAATCCTCCGCGGGGCACCTCCTGGCAGGCCGATGTCCTAGTTTACGCGTGTGCTACAGGGGGGGCCGATTGACTGACCTCACACCTGTGGGTACACCAGCCTGTGGTGCGTGAGACCGCCTGCGCACATCTCAAAGAAAATATCCTCGACGCCTGAGGCCTCCCCCCGCTGTTCTCATCCGCGGCCGCCCTCTCCTTCCCTTGACTTGCCGTGTGTGCCGACCGTCGTGGCGCGGCCCGCCTGCTACTAGAGCGCGACGTGCGCTCGCCCTCGCCGCTGGTCAACACTTGCCCAAGCAAAGCACCCTAAGAGCAGCTGGGGTGTGGAGGCGGATGGACGCCTGAAACGTCGGCCTGCGAAAACGACCTCGGCAAATTGTGGGTACGATTGCGGAGCCGAATGTGCTGATGAGGGTGACGCTCTTGATGCCGACATGGTGACATAAACGCGCTTGGAGCAGCATTGAGTACCGATCGACCCCACTCTTGGCAGCTGGAATGGTGAGGGGCCGATGGCCCTGCCATACTTTCTGGATCGAGGACAAACAGGTGTAATGGTGATAGTCCTATACTCATCCCACAAGGTCTGGACCGGCGACGGCTGAACTCGAGGGTGAACACCAAATTGAACCTCATTTCTGGATCAGTCAATGCTAAAATCGAGCCAAATACTCGCCCCCCTCCCCCATGTGGCCCGCGAGCGGATTTTCAATTGAAATCGAACCAAAACACCATCGTGAGCCTCATTTCTGGACCAAATCAAGCCAGATCATCAGAATGAGTCTCATGTCTGGATTGGGAAGGCTGAAAACGAATCAGAACGCCATCGTGAGTTTCATTTCTGGACCAAATCAAGCCATAACACCATAATGACTGTCATGTCTGTACTTGCGAGGCCCGAGCCAGAACACCCGTCCACCCATGTGGAAATTTGGATGAAACAACATATTGAACTGAAATCGAAACAGAACACCATAGCGAGCATCAGTTCTTGACCATATCGAATGAGAACGCTACAGTGAAGCTAATCTGGATCTGGGAGGGCTGCAAACGAGCCAGAACACAATAGTGAGCTTCATTTCTAAACCAAAACGAACCAAAACGCCAAAGTAAGTTTAATCTCTGGATCTGCAAATGCTGAAATCGAGCCAGGACATGATAATGAGTCGATCCACCGCCAGACCGGTGAGACGCCTCACCGCAACAGCCGCTCGGGCGCCGCCCATTGCGCGTGCTCGAGGTCGTCGCGCGGGTTCACTGCGGGAGTCGGGAAGTGAGGGGCTGAGCGAAGCTAGAGGGTGGCGGAGCGAAGCGGCGCGCCATGTCGGAGGAGACGCGGGCAGCCGTGCGCATCTGCTGTTGGCGAAGCGCGTGAGGAGGTCGTGGAAAGCGTCTGTCTCGATTGGTGAGGTCGGTGGTGTCGTGCTAGCGGCCTGGGGTGTCTTGTTCGGGCGGGTAGGAGCATCGGCCACGGGGTGTTGGTGTTCGGGAGAGTGTTCGCTGCGTGACCACGGGGGAGGGGGCGATCTGCAGGCAGTCGGGCTGCGATCCGATCGCGGCGGGTGTCGTGGGGTTCGTGCGTCGTCGTCGTCGTCGTCGTCGTCGTCAGGAGTGGGGGGCGTCGGACATCGCCGCAAGCTTGTCTTGGCATCGCCGCAAGCTTGTCATCTTTTAAAAGGTCAGCTTTGCATGCATGTTTGTTTTCTGTCTCCTCCTCTTCCTCCTCTTCCTCCTCTCCCTTACAGTACAGGCTGTGTTGAGCTTGTTTTCCCGCCCACGAGCCGGACGGCGTATGGCTTGTGTATTTGTGTGTGTGTGTGTGTGTTGGTGATGGGGGGGATCAAGCGACCTGAGGACGAGTCTCCTGCGGCGGAGGAGAAGGGGAAGGAGCGTGACCTGATTATGCTGATGAAGAGGAGGCGGACGAACAGGACGATAAGGGATGAGGGCGGACAGGGGAAGACAAACGTGAGGAGGATGCGACCTCTTCGCGACCTCTTTTCACCTGGGCTCGTGACGTGAACGGAGAGCACGCGAGGTAACAGAGCCTACATCGAATCCTGTGGACGTTGCGTGGAACACATCAATCAAGACCATGGAGCGTACGGATGCAAGGTTACGGTGCAAGGCCCCTGGACCCAAGCATCAAAATGGAGCGGCATTCGGCCCACGGCTCGTGGATCCGTGGCTGAGAGTGCGCACAGAGGCAGGGGTTGAACGGCAACCGTGGTAAAGTCCTTCGTCCTCGCCGTGCGCGGTCGCGAACTGTTGCTCAGCGTGTCGCGGCGGCGGCCCAGGCGACGCGCTGTGCCCGCAGGCGGATAGCGTGTCGCTCCGCTCCGCGGGACGGGAGGGTGGGGACAGCTCGGGACCTTGAAGCTCAGGGACTGGGACGTGGCTAGCGTGTCGCGCCGAAGCGTAGTGCGCCACAACCGTCGGCGCGACACGCTAAGCTGAAATTCCAGACCGTAAATTGGCTGCAAGGGGAACGCGCCGAAATGCCTGACAAGTTTGGAAACCTTGGTGCCGACTTGAGCTGCCCGTCTGTACGTTTACTCGGCGGCACACTCCTGGCTGTCGCGTGCGTCAGACGAAACCAGTGGGCGGCACTGGGAACAGCTGCACTTGGTCCCCGCGCCCGCCAAATTCAATATCAGCGCCATCTGGTCCCGGCTCGTCGACCCGACCATGTCCTGGGGCGGCCAGCTCCTTCTCCTCTCTTCCCCCTCCTTCCCCTGTGCCGCTGTGCCCCCGCTCTCCCCCTATCTCCCCCCTTTTCCTCACCATCCTCCTCCCTCCAGTTCCTCTTCCTTCTCCTCCTCCACCTCCTCCTCCACCTTTTTCTGCTCCTCCTCCACCTCCTCCTCCTCCTCCGCCCCTTCCCGCCCGCCCCTCCCTGTCCCCCTGCCCCCTCTTTCTCCTGCTTCTGCCCCCCTCCGCGCCACTCCCCTAGGGCCGGGGCTGCCCCAGCAACCTCGAGCTTCGCCTCGTTCGATCCCCCTCCCTCCCGATGGTCGCAGCGGTGGAAGACGAGAACGACGGGACGATGGGGCTGCGACGGTCGGGGGCGTCCAAGAGAGGGGCGTCTAAGAGGGGGTGGCGCAAATCATGGCCGGCGGCATGTGCGCGGCCCACGGGGGGGGGTGGCCAGGGGCGCATTGAAATAAGAAGAGGCGCCATGAAATCTGGGGGGATCTCATGGCCCCTGCCATGATATCCACCCCCCCTAGTCATCACCCTCCTCTTGGCCGCCCCCGAGGACGATGGGGCTACGACGGGCTCCTCCACGTCGCTCGCCATCGGCGAGAGCGGGAAGCAGCCGTCGCCCTGCAGCAGCGGGCCGCGCTGGGAGGCGCTGGGCGTGTTCCTGGCGCGCCCCGTCGTGCTCTCGGGGCCGTCGTCGCCGTCGCCGCGTCTGCCTTCCCTCCACCTCCTCCTCCTCCTCCTCCTCCTCCTCCGCCTCCGCCTCCGCCTCCGCCCTCCGCCTCCGCCTCCTCCTCCTCCTCCTCCTCCTCCTCCTCCTCCTCCTCTTCCTACTCCTGATCGTCCAATCCAACCTCCTCATCCTCCTCGTCCCCTCCCATCCCTCCTCCCACTCCTCCGCTTCATCGTCCCCATCCTTTTACTCCTCGTCCTCTTCGTCCTTCTCCTTCTCCTCCTCCTCTTCGTCGCGAAGGGAAGAACACGGTAGACCTTCTTTGGTGAGTTTCGGCCTCTGGAGGCCCTCACTGAGCCCTTGGGGCCGTCAAGAAACGACCCGGGATGAGGAACCTGTCCATGGGGAAGGGGTCAGGACGTCCGGGGGTCCACGTTGTGATAACATCGCGACGTCGGAGTTCTGGGTCTGGGCGGGGGAGGGGAAGAAGGAAGAGGAAAAGGAGGAGTAGGAGGAGGAGGAGGAGGACGAGGAGGACGAGGAGGAGGAGGATGAGGACGAGGACGAGGACGATGAGGACGAGGAGGACGAGGGAGGAGGAGGAGGAGGAGGAGGAGGAGGAGGAGGAGGAGGAGCAGAATGAGCAGGAGGAGCAGGATGCAGGCGGCAGGAGGCGGGAGCCGGTGGAATTCCATGAAGGCCGCGTAGCCAAGCGCAAGCCTGGCTCACAAGCTCCGTGGCAACGAAATTCCTAGTCAATTCTGAGACCGGGGCGCAGTGAACCCGGGGGCGCACTCTGCAGGGCAGCGCTGGCCCTGGCCACACACTAGCAGCATTCGGGCACGCAGCGGAGCAGTAGGAACATGCGGAGGAGGACGAGTCCTTTTTCTCCATTGCCTGGCCCTTCTCCTCCTCCCCCTCCCGCTCTCCACTCCTTTTCATTACAAATAATGATTCACAGTCGCACCCCGAAACGTGTCGGTAGGGCAGGCCGTTCCGCCTGAGACTTCGTCACTTGTTATCTGTAAGGGCTTCGCCCCCTGCCGCCGGCCTCCTCTCTATCATAATGGGATGTATCAGAATCGCGTCGGTGCGTCTCGGCGCTGCCTTGGCGCATCTGGGAACATCGTGCGGGGGCGGATCGGAATCACCAGCGCATATTGAGACGCTGGCGTTATCGAAGACGCCTACGGCGAATCACCACCACCCCCTGCCTTTTGGAATCGCCCATGTGGCCGAGCGCTATGGCAAGAGCTCTGCCAAACTATCGGGCCATGTGTTTCCAAAGCCGTTGTAGAAACCCTTCGGGTAACACTTGTGGGAGGATGGCGGGGAAGATCAGGAGGAGGAGGAAGAGGAGGAGGGTGAGGAGGAGAGGGAGGAGGAAGAGGAGGACGAGGAGGAGGAGGAGGAGGAGGAGGAGGAGGAGGAGGAGGAGGATTCTCCCGCTCGCGCGCTAGCGAGCTGTCTCCGTGCGCGGCCGCGGCGTGCGCGCGCGGGGCGGCCCAAAATGGGCAGGCCCGTCCCGCGCGCTCAAGCCGGGGCGCCGCGCGTCAGACGGTGGAGTCCGTCTGGTCGCCGATGTCGGCGAGGCAGCGCCCGTCAGCCTTAGAATGGGAGAGGAGGGAGGGGGGCAGAGAAGCTGCGGAGACAGCAGGAGCTTGCTCACAGAGAATAGAAGAAGCATTCTCCCGCTCGCGCGCTAGCGAGCTGTCTCCGTGCGCGGCCGCGGCGTGCGCGCGCGGGGCGGCCCAAAATGGGCAGGCCCGTCCCGCGCGCTCAAGCCGGGGCGCCGCGCGTCAGACGGTGGAGTCCGTCTGGTCGCCGATGTCGGCGAGGCAGCCATACCCGTGCTCAAGGACCTTGCGAAGTGACAAGGTTTTGGCGGGCGGCCGCAAGCAGGGCAGGCCAAGCGGCGGGGCCGACTTGGAGGAAAGAAGCGACGAGGCGGTCGCTGGCGGTGGCGAAGAACAAGATACGAGCCCGCGCGTGCTCGGGCAGCGCAGCAAGAACTGTCGAGGCGGCGGCGGCTTGCAGGTAGCGCTCGGCACTGGAAGCCTGACGCCAACGCCCACGCCAGAAGACGCGAGGGACGTCTTCCGTAGCGATATAGAAGTCTGTTGCGCCAGAGCCCCGCAGACAAGCGGGCGTCAGGTTGAGCCCCTGACCTGCTTTGGCAAGAGGGACGCCCAGAGCCAAAAGCAGATGATTCCACCGAGTACGGAAGCCGCTCGCACCGAAGGGGGCGAGAGGATCGGTGGAAGCCAACCTTCCAAACACTTGACTCAAAATCTTCACCGTGCCCCGATCGGAGCAGCGAGCATGTTGCGTCGGGTACGTTCTTCTGGTCTTTGGAACAAGAATTGAAAGAAAAGCATCCCCGTCGACTTCGAGACGGTCGCATGGAAGCGACAGGTCACAGCGGCGTGACGCCAGCAGTTCGCCAGGCCTGAGGAACATCGTGAAGCCCATGAGCAGCAGCGCCGCCATCACAGGCCAGTCCCAGGCGAGACAGAGCCCGACCATGGCGCGCAGCAGCGCGCGTGGCAAGGGGGGACGAAGCTTTGGCGGCTCCGCAAGCTTCCATTGTTTCGCTACGTCCCAAGCTTCTGTCAGAAAGGCCTTCCAATGCGGATGGGCGCTTTGGATTCCCAAGATGGCATGGACCAAAATATAATGAGGGAAACCTGCATCATGAAGCCACACGCCGAAGGTCGCGAGGAAACGAGCGAGAAGTATCCCGCTTCGGTAAAGTGTGGCGGGTGGCACGCCAGTGTGTTCTGCTAACCACAGCTCGAAGGCATCAATCGATCTCGAGCGACGGTCGAGATACGCGGAGGTGAGGTGAGAATCGCGCACAAAGGGAGTGCGCGGAGGGCGAGCGGGCGCGGACGGCGCAGCCCGACTAAGCCCTTGGCCTGCGGTCGGCGCCGCGGCTCCCAGAGAGATGCAGAGGCCGCAGACGCACCACAGGATGAGCGCAGGGCGGCCAGGGCTTGGAGAGCTGATCACCGTGGCGGCCCTCCTGCGCCTGGACGCGTAGAAGGGCGGAACGAGGGCGTCCCGCCCGTCGGTCTCGAACCCCGACGCCTCCGCCAGCATCGCCCGCGCCGAGCTGAAGGACCCGCCCATGTTACGGTAGGCACGGCGAGCCCCTGCTTCGATCTCGGCTGGCAGAGCGTCCCCTCTCTCGAGGGTCGGCCAGTCAAAAGGCGGGCGCGGCTCGGCACGCGCAGCTGCGGCTGCTTCGGCAAGCTCGGAACGAGCTGCCGAGGACGTGAGGCCCGAATGATGTGGCACGGGCACCACCTCCGCGAAGGCGTCGAGGATCTCGGACGGAGGGGAATGGGATCCCCACAGCGCTGCTGGGATGGCGCCGTGACTGTCCTGCAGGTGGTACAGAAGGTCGAAAAGGCAGGCCAGTTTGCCCGCGCGCCGCCGCTGCTCGATCTTTGAGCCGAGCCCGATGCCACGGATGGCGCCCGCCCCCATGGCCTGGAGGTCAGCATCCGCGGGGATCGCCTCGGGCTCGACGATGGCCACGTAAGGATGCAGCCACGAGGCCTCGTCAAGCGGCTCGGCGCCGCCTGTCTGAAACAGGCGCTTGTAGGCGTGCAAGGCCCGCAGGAGGCAGTGCAGGTCATCCTTGCCCTCAGGCTCGGCGGCCCCTGCGGGTGCAAAAGTCCTCAGCCACGACGCCGCGCTCTGGAAAGCACCTTGCCAGGCGGGTCCCCACCTCACCACTGTGATCTTCTCACCGCCTAGGTTGAGGCGCCACGCTAGGGCGCTGGCGGCCCCTGGAGGCAAGGGCTGCTCAGCGGCCGCCGAGGCCGTGCGCCGCGCTGCGAAAGCTGCAGCCGCGGCGCTTCCAGCGTCACCACTGTGAGAGCCGCTGAGAGGCAGCTCGGGCTCAGAAGCTCGACCAAGCGCGAAGCCGCTCGAAGACCCCCCTTTCTCGGCGGCACGCCCTCCTCCCTGCGGGGCCGCAACAGCATCGCTGGAAGAGCGCATGCCTACCGAAGTCGGAGGGGCCTGAGCAGCGGAGTCCGCGCGGGAGCTGGCTGGCCGCTGCGAAGTGGCGGGGCTCGGGCGACGCTTCGGAGCGACCCGAGGGGAGCGCACCACGCGACGCCCAGGCGACGCACGGGAACGCGACGCCGCACGCCCACCAGAGTGGTGACGGGGTGGCGATGGCGGCGGGGGGACGGGCCGCGGCGTCTCGGAGCCAGCACGCGTGCCGCGGCCCCGAGAGCGGCTGCGAGCCGCAGCGTGAGCGGCGGGCGGGGAGGCCTCCGCGCGGCGAGGGAAGGCCGCCTGCAAGCGGCGGAGGGCCTCAGGGTTAAGGCCCGCCACGACGCGCTCGAGGTCCACCGAGGAGTCAGTGAGGGCACTCAAAACGACGTCCTCGAGCTCCGTCGGTGAGTCCTCCTCGCACGCGGGCTCCGCTCTCGAGCGGCTGCGGGCGCTCGCTGGAGGAGACCCCTCAGGAGTGTGCGGGCCTACCGATGCCTCCCCCGCCGGCGGCCCCGACGGCTCCTCAGGCGCGCTCGAGACGTCGATGGGAGGCGAGGAGCAGCCTCCCGAGGGGGAAGTGTAATCAGTCCCGTACGGGTTCGGAGACCGCGTACGGCTGCGGGCAGGGCTGCGGCTCCGCGGTGGAGGGCCCACTCCCGCGGCGGAGCTGGGGCGTGCCGCGCCTGCCCAGCGACGCGCATTAGCAGTGCGACGCGCCCTGCGGCCCGGCGTCGTGGCGGCTCCCTCTCCAGGGGCGGGTAGCGCCGCCGTCGAAGCTCGCCGCTGCTTCTTGGCGCGCTTGTTGCGCGCGGCGCCCGTGCGCGAGGCGGAGTGTGGCGCGTGATCACCGCGATTGGGCTGGTCCTCGACAGCCTCGTCCCGCGGGCCCAGGCGGGCGCGGACCGCGCGCCCCTCGCGACGGCTGAAGCTGGACGCTGGGTCGTCGGCAGGCCTCGCCAAGGTGCGCGGATCCACAGCTTCCACCT